CCCCTTCATTGGAACTGTACAAGTAAACTTCTGTTATTGTTTTAGTGTATATGGAACAAGAATCCCACATCAGCTTTGTCTGGGATTGGAAGCAAAGCAGAAATTGATTAATATTTGGGTAAGAGACAGCAAGGAAATTCCAGTACTGTAAATCATCAGACTGAGAAGTCAAAAAGTTTTGGAAGAAGGCAGCAACAACTACTATTGCATGGATCTGGGATTGGACTTGACTAACTAATTTTTATTTATCTGATTTTTAAACTACCACAGTGCTGCAACTCATAGCTGTATGTGAAAATAAAGAAAATATAATACATGAACAAATAGGCAACCTAATTGGAGCAATAATGTCTTCCAACTGTAAGCCAGCAATGCACATTTACACTAGCCAAAATGCACAAATCATGAACATGACACAATTAATACCATTCTAACAATATTTTCTTAAAATCCGAACAGTATTAAAGAAGAATTTGTTTATCACAAAACTGGCAACTCACAAGCTCAAAATACAAAACCTGTAAAGATAATAAAATAAACAATAATTATAATGAATTGTATATTAGAATAAACAAATTACTATAATAACCAAAAGTGCTTTTATACTCAATACATCAGCAGCCCTCAAATGAATTTAATGTGATTTAATGAAATCATATGAATATTTGGTCAAAAATATATTGGGTTCAAATTGATTTATTTTTGACCAAATATTCCTATAGTTACATCCTAAAAATGGTAACAGATATCTGTGGGAGAGCAGTCTAATCTTGCTAAAAAATCAGCAGTGAGTGTGAAAGGTGCCATAATTATATAGCAGGACATATTACATATAACCTACCCAGTAAAAATAGGTCTCTATATTTGGCAAGTCTATGCCACAATACCCCTTACTGCCTTGTCGTGGCGAAGGGGCTTGTGTAACTCAATGAAGCTATAAGCTATGCCGTGCAGGGCCACCCAAGACGGACAGGTCATAGCAGAGAGTTCTGACAAAATGTGATCCACTGGAGAAGGAAATGGCAAACCACTCCAGTATCGTTGCCATGAAAACCCCATGGACAGTACTAAAAGGCAAAAAGATATGACGCTGGAAGATGAGCCCCTCAGGTCGGAAGGTGTCCAATATGCTACTGGGGAAGAGCAGAGGGCTAGTACTAGTAGCGCCAGAAAGAATGAAGGACTGGGCCAAAGCCGAAAGGACGCTCAGTTGTGGATATATCTGGTGGTGAAAGGAAAGTCCGATGCTGTAAAGATTTTTTCTCCATAGGAACCTGGAATGTAAGATCAATGAATCAAGGCAAGCTAGACGTAGTCAAAAAAGAGATGACAAGACTGAACATCGACATCTTAGGAATCAGCGAACTAAAATGGACAGGAATGGGTGAATTTAACTCAGAGGACCATCAGGTATACTACTGTGGGCAAGAATCCTCAGAAGAAATGGAGTAGCCTTCATAGTCAATAAAAGAATAGGAAAAGCAATACTGGGATACAATCCCCAAAATGAAAGAATGATCTCAATTCGAATCCAAGGCAAACCATTCAATATCACAGTAGTCCAAATCTATGCCCCAACCACTGGTGCTGAAGAGGATGAAATTGACCGGTTCTATGAAGCCCTACAGCACCTTATAGAATTAACACCAAAAAATGATGTCCTTCTCATCATGGGGGATTGGAATGCTAAGGTAGGAAGCCAAAAGATAACCGGAATAACAGGCAAGTTTGGCCTTGGAGTACAAAATGAAGCAGGGCACAGGCTGATAGAATTTTGTCAAAAGAATACGATGGTCATAACAAACACTCTTTCCCAACAACCCAAGAGATGGCTCTACACATGGACATCACCAGACGGTCAACATAGAAATCAGGTTGATTATGTGCTCTGCAGCCAAAGATGGAGAAGCTCTATACAGTCAGTAAAAACAAGACCAGGAGCTGACTGTGGCTCAGATCATGAGCTTCTCGTTGCAAAATTTAGGCTTAAATTGAAAAAAGTAGGGAAAAGCACTAGGCAACTCAGGTATGAACTAAATCACATTCCTGATGAATATACAGTAGAGGTGACAAATAGATTTAAGGAATTAGATCTGATAGACAGAGTGCCAGAAGAACTATGGATGGAAGTTCGCAACATTATACAAGAGGTAGCAACTAAAACCATCCCAAAGAAAAAGAAATGCAAGAAAGCAAAATGGCTGTCTGAGGAAGCTTTGCAAATAGCTGAGGAAAGAAGGAAAACTAAAGGCAAAGGAGAAAGAGAAAGATACACCCAACTGAATGCAGAATTCCAGAGAATAGCTAGAAGAGATAAGAATGCCTTCTTAAATGAACAGTGCAAAGAAATAGAAGAAAACAACAGAATAGGGAGGACCAGAGATCTCTTCAAGAAAATTGGAGATATGAAGGGAACGTCTCATGCAAAGATGGGCATGATAAAGGACCAAAATGGCAGAGACCTAACAGAGGCAGAAGAGATTAAGAAGAGATGGCAAAACTACACAGAAGAACTATATAAGAATGAGCTTAACGTCCCAGATAACCACAATGAGATGGTCACTGACCTCGAACCAGACATCCTAGAATGTGAAGTGAAATGGGCCTTAGAAAAATTGAGCAACAACAAAGCTAGTGGAGGTGACAGTATTCCAGCTGAGCTATTCAAAATCTTAAAAGACGATGCAGTAAAAGTGCTACACTCAATTTGCCAGCAAATTTGGAAAACTCAACAGTGGCCACAGGATTGGAAAAGGTCAGTTTACATTCCAATTCCAAAAAAAGGCAATGCCAAAGAATGTTCAAACTATCGCACCATTGCATTCATTTCACATGCTAGTAAAGTTATGCTTAAAATCCTACAAGCTAGACTCCAGCAGTATGTGGATCGAGAACTACCAGAAGTACAGGCAGGATTTCGAAGAGGTAGAGGAACTAGAGATCAAATTGCCAACATACGCTGGATCATGGAGAAAGCTAGGGAGTTCCAGAAAAACATCTACTTCTGCTTCATTGACTATGCTAAAGCCTTTGATTGTGTGGATCACAACAAATTGTGGCAAGTTCTTAAAGAGATGGGAATACCAGACCATCTTATTTGTCTCTTGAGAAACCTATATGCGGGTCAAGAAACAACAGTGAGAACTGGACACGGAAAAACTGATTGGTTCAAAATTGGAAAAGGAGTCCGACAAGGCTGTATACTGTCGCCCTGCCTATTTAACTTATATGCAGAGCACATCATGAGAAAGGCAGGGCTAGATGAATCAAAAGTTGGAATTAAGATTGCCGGGAGAAATATCAACAACCTAAGATATGCAGATGATACCACTCTAATGGCAGAAAGTGAAGAGGAACTAAAGAGCCTCTTGATGCGGGTGAAGAAGGAGAGTGCAAAAGTTGGCTTGAAACTCAACATTAAGAAAACCAAAATCATGGCATCCGGCCCTCTCAATTCCTGGCAAATAGATGGGGAAGAAATGGAGGTAGTGACAGATTTTATTTTTCTGGGCTCCAAGATCACCTCAGATGGGGACTGCAGCCAAGAAATTAAAAGACGCTTGCTCCTGGGGAGGAAAGCTATGGCAAATCTAGACAGCATACTAAAAAGCAGAGACATCACCCTGCCAACAAAAGTGCGTATAGTCCAGGCCATGGTTTTCCCAGTTGCAATGTATGGCTGTGAAAGTTGGACCATAAGAAAGGCTGAGCGCCAAAGAATTGAGGCCTTTGAACTATGGTGCTGGAGAAGACTCCTGCGAGTCCCTTGGACTGCAAGGCGTTCAAACCGGTCAGTCCTAGAAGAGATCAACCCCGACTGCTCTTTAGAAGGCCAGATCCTGAAGTTGAAACTCAAATACTTTGGCCACCTAATGAGAAGGAAGGACTCACTGGAGAAGGGCCTAATGCTGGGAAAGATTGAGGGCAATAGAAGAAGGGGATGACAGAGAATGAGATGGCTGGATGGAGTCACTGAAGCAGTAGGTGTGAACTTAAATGGACTCCAGAAAATGGTAGAGGACAGGAAGACCTGGAGGAACGTTGTCCATGGGGTCGCGATGGGTCTTAAACGACTTCACAATTAACAACAACAACAACGCCACAATAAATATGTTGGTCTTCAAGATTTCACAGTACTCTGTGCTGGATATATTGTAGATGTACAGAAACTGAAACATACCAGTTTTAGTTCAGAAAGAGGCTAAAACGATCATCTCCAACTGCATTTCTCCCTGTTACAAGGCAGTGAAAGGCACAGAGACCTCAGCTTCATTAGTGCAATTCTACTGTAGCTTGTAATTCTAAAATAGTTTTGCAGGAATATTTTGTTTGTTTTTATAGTTGCCCAACTACTAGTTCAATGAAACAGACCTCGTTTTCTTCCCTCAGCTCAAAGGGTGTTGTATAAGTGGGGGAAAAGTATATTGCTCTTTCCAAAAACTTGAAGTGGTCATTTGCAGAGAGCTTTTTAAATTAGGCAGGGGACCAACAGGACTTATTATAAAGGCTGGCTCCCACGCTACTGTTCCTACGACGACAGGAAAATATACTCTCTCCTTTCCCTGTCCTCATTCAACTAAGCTGCAATTTTGAGTATATTGTCTGTGTTTAAACAGACTCCTCTCTATATGCATTTCCTGCACTTTTATATCTGGATTTACTTAACACACGTAACTCAAACTAACCGTACCGAATTCATCAACAAAGCCCTAATATAAACTATCCAAAAATGTTTTGTCCGCCAACCAAACGTTAAGAAATGCTCCTTCCTGACGTCAATCTCTTCCCGAGTTGGCTTGCTGCAATTAAACTTCAACCTATTGTCTACGCTAGAAGCTGTGCTGCCAACGCTCTAGCTCCAAAGCTTTGCTAGACGAGCCAAGAGAAAAAGAAAAAGAAGAGAGACAGAGACAGAGGACAAATGAGAGAGGTTTGGTGCGCGCATGCGCCCCGCAGCCTTAGCCGCTCACGTCTCCTCCGAGGCTAGTCCCCGCCCCTCAACCTCGTCCCACGCAGGGTCACGAGTGAGTGCTGAAAAGGCGCTTTAACAGAGCTGTTGTGTTGCTTATTCGGAGCTCGCATGGGGCGCGCAGAGGGATCGGCGGGGCGCGCGCCGAGCATCGCTTAAGCCTCGCGAGTCGCGGTCGCTCTCGTTATGAGGCGCGGAGAGCGGAGGGGTCACGGAGGCGCCTCCGGCAAAGCCGCGTTGGAGGAAGGGCAGCCGCCGCCGCTCCCCGACGGCGCTTCTCTGCTGGTTGAAGAGGAGCCGCGGGGGGATCCGCCGCCAGTGGCAGCTGCAGCAGCGCCAGACGCCGCTGTCGTCACTCATGGCGACCGGCGCAGCACTGAGTCCGAGGTGTACGACGACGGGACCAACACCTTCTTCTGGTGAGAGGGGCGACCGTGCTGCCCACGCTCCTATTCTGCCCCTCGAGTCACTCTGCAAGCAGAATGGAGTACTTACGCATCTGGACCTTCTGCATAAAAATAAGGGCCCAGAGGGTGCCTGAATCTGGAGGGAAGGGTTGGGGGGGGGCGCTTATTCTGAAGATGACAGCAGCAGAGGCGAGGGTTTCATAGGGATTTAGAGCTAGTACTTGATTCTAGTGAAATCTGGGCTGATCTTTGATAACTGTGTGTATGTGTGTCCTTTGAAAGAGAGGGTACAGCACCTACTTAGTTTCAGGACAGTCTTTTCCAAATTACTCCTTTCCTGCTATGTGGTGACTGGCTCCATGGCTATTGCTGTCTCCGATGTGATTTTTCATCACTTGCTATCAAAGATGTAAACTAATTTACACTTAAATGTCTTTGGAGATTTTCAGTCACCCAGATCACAGTTATCCCAAAGATTCTTTTTCAAGAGGCAACTGGACTTCCTTGTTTTTCTTTGAAGAGGTTTTGTTTTTCTTCCAAGAAGCTTCTTCAGCTCTGACTGGATGGTTGGGGAATGGAAGGATTTATACTCCTTATACTTTCCATTCTATGATTAGCTGTGTGCAAGGAGTATAAATCCTTCTATTCCTCCACCATCCAGTCAGAGCTGAAGAAGCTTCTTGGATGAGAAGCGAAATGTCTTAAAAAAAAAAAAGCAAAGTCCAGTTGCCTCTTGAAAAAGAATTTTTGGGATAAGTTTACAGTTACTAAATAGACAACCACTGACCCCATTGGGCCATCCTTTCAGAGATATTTCTCCAATGCCTTCAACAATGGCAGAACTTCTAAGGTACTTCAAAGTCCTTAAACATTCAGGGAGATATTCAGAGATGTATCTGCTTTGAAAGTAGCCCATGTTGAACTGTATAGCACAGTCAAACATCAGAAGTTGACCACGAGAAATATTTTATGACATTTGGTATGTCGTAAGATGCTTTATGATTATTTTTATAAAGTTTGCCAAATTTCAGTTCCATGGGAATCATGAGTCCCAGATTTTGTATGCATTTTGGAAGTTAGCCCATTTGAGATACCCTGGTTGAAAAAAATGTTGCCATATGATGTACAATTTTACCCAGTTAAAGGTTATGGATCCAAAAGATATATAGTATGTATAAATAACGTTATTGAACTTAACTGCTGAAGACCAAGTCATCAGTTTAATCAGGATTAAGATTGCTTTCTAGGCTATTTCCACAATTTTACGTCTTTTTATCTAATACATTGCCCCTGAATCTGTTAAGACTATCATTACAAATCAGTTGTGTACCAATAGTGGAATAAAGTAGCTTGAAACCAACTTCCAGTTGAGATAGCGGATCAACATCAGTAACTGAGTTTAAACATGCTTGGGATAAACATATGTCCAGCCTCTGACAAAAATAAAACAAAATAGAAATTAATTAAAAATAATGAATGAATAAGAACGGAAACAAATAAACACAAAAGGCTGACGCGATGGATCACCTAGGTCTTTTTCTGCAGTTAATTTTCTGTTTCTGTTCAGTGTATAAGTGGATATTGCAACATATAATAAAATCTTGGGGAAATGAGCCAATTTAATCTGCATCAATAAAGGGACACTTGGACTGCATCCCTTAACTGTATTTAAGATTGTGCTTAAATTCATGCCTTTTTTTCAGAATACCGTGTTTCCCCAAAAATAAGATTTACCCCCAAAATAAGACCTAGCTTGATTTTTGTGGTTGGGTCTAATATAAGCCCTACCCCCAAAATAAGCCCTACTTAAGACCGCACCCACTCTGTCCCTCAAAATTTTTGACAGACCAGATCGTGTGCCTCCCCCCCCCCGCCTGTTTCTGGTGCCGCCACTGTGAGATGGTCTGAATGGTAAGAGAGGCGAGGACTGAGACAAGCAGAGGCTACCTCTTTTCTATCCCTGCCCTGGATTAGGGAATCCAGCAGGCAAGCGGTGGTGGGGACTGGCCAGGGCCTCATCCATCAGCTTCTCTCTTTCACCCTCACTCCGAAACAGCCTCCACAGGCAGCCTGCACTGCCCCGCAGGTTTTGCCGCTTTTCTCTTCCTCTGCGGAAGGGTAGGAAAGAAAGCTGGGTGTCCTAAGATGTCCCACCCAGGGAGGCGCCTCAAGTTTCCCTCAGTGAGGGAGGAAGGCTTTGGAAACTGCCTTTTCATTTACATTCATCATCAATATTGTAATCCGTCCCTTTATTTTTTTAAAAAAAAATGATTTGTATTTACCATGATTTGCCTCCTTGAATGCCAATGGAAATGCGCGGTATGAATTCTGCGCATGAGCTGCAGAAATACAGACACTCGCACCCTCAAAGCTCACAACACTTCCTCATTTGGGGTGTACCACTGCTTTACAGGTGTGTTCAATTTTTATGACCATCCAATGGGCAACTCCATTACAGTCAAAAATTAAGGGCTATCTATATTTTCCTGGATTGTTAGGGAAAAGGAAATATCTTTTTATATTCTTTGTCCTTTTTTTAATAGTTTCTATTAGTTCTCTAAATTCTTTCATATTAATCTGGCTCTTATCCAGTTTCTATAGATTTTCTACATTAATTGTCTATTTTTAGTAAGCAATGGAAGAAGATTATAAAATCATTTTGTACTTTAGTAGCATTAGGAAGTGAATTGTCTAGAATGCTTATTGCTGATGGAGCATGCAAAGAAATGGAACTGTACCAAAAGAAAAGATTGACAAAGGAGCTTTATTATTTTTAAATAATCCCTGAAAAAAGTGGATAAGAACACAACATGAGATAATAACAGCTGAGTGGGACATAGTAAATATCTGTTATTTTTTCCTTACAGCTTTTATTTTAGCTGATGTTTTAAAATTCATGTTGCTCCTGAGAAAAATAACAGTGACATCTCCATCTCCAAAAAAATAGTGTTTAAAATTGCACTTGTAGGTCCTTAAATAAAAAGCAAGCTTGAATTTTACAATAATCTATGGCAATCACAAAACTTGGCATTAGCTATATGGATTGCATTCAGAAGATTCCTCCTCCAATTAGAAGGGCAGAAACTTGTGTGGTTTGTCCCACCTATCTTTACGTTAGCTTACAAAATAGTTGTAAGCTTAAAAAACAAAGTTTGATATTGCACAGTTCTCTGGCTCTGCAAAAAAACAATTGGCAAAGAGAAAAATGTGAACTGGTTTTGTATGATTTGAACTTTGTGACCTTGGCAGCAAGAGGGATACGTTGATACTAGGCAACAGATTTAGAGCGCAGCTAGCAGCTTCCTAGAAGTTGTTGCATTCCAACCTAGTATCTGAGAATTCACAGTGCTCTACAAATTAGGAAACACCATCTTTCATCATAGAGCCAGGAAGCATTTTAGAGAGCATATTAGGAACAAACTGTGCTGTACAAAAATAGTGACCTAGTAACTGGATCTTACAGACATTTTGGGTTATGTTGTCTTTTAAATGGAGAATGTGGGTAAAATTGTCAGTTCCTCTAATACTACTCAGTTTATAAACTTCTGCTGAACTGGTTTTTTTTTTTCTGTAACACTTCATAATATTGTAATTATTCATCTTGGAAATTAAGTGTATATTGTATTGCAGTTGGATTTTTCCCCCTATAGGATAAGTACTGTTTCAAAAAAGTTTCCATGTGTGTCTCTTATGTTTGATGTTCCTATTATTAGTTATTCTTATATTTGGCTGAACATTTAAAAATAAAAAAATGATGTTCTTACATTTTTAGTAGAGTTATAATCATTATGGAAAAAGCAAGTATAGTGGTAAAGATCTAATTTACTTCGTGCTAGTAAATTGGAGTTCTTTAGTGGAATAATTTATTGATTGTAATTAAAATACTTATATGTAAGGGTTGCCATGAACTAGCAAGAGCTTCCTTATATTTTTGTTAATTTTTATAGCTGATGCAATTAATTCTGTTTATTTACCAGCAAATCACTACAGATCCTTAGCAGTTTACAAGACAGTTGATAGAAGCAATCATTTCAGTTAAAGCATTTATGATAGATATAAATAAATTAAAACAACCAATAACTAAATTGCAACAAAACAAGGGTATGGTGAAATCTGGAGCTGAAGTGAGGAGAGAAGTGAAAAGACTGGTAAGCCTTGAATCACTAATGGAAAGCAGATCCTCCCTAAACTTGCAGTGCTTATCTAGTAGTTCCTGTGGTAAATTTATTAGTCTGGCGACATTCCTATAAATAGGCAAATAGCAACAAAGGTATCACTCTGATCAACTCCTTGTGTTATTTCTGGTCCCTTGCACCTGACTAAGGGTAACTTAATAATACAGTTAAAAAAATAAAACAAATCATAGGAAAACAAAATTAAATAATATTAAAAAATAAATTAATATGATTAAATTAAATGTGGTGATAACAAACCATTCAACCAAATGCTTTTCAGAAAAAAAAGTATTCAATAGCTTCCAGAACATTAGAACAGATGGAATAAGCTTTAATTCTAAGGAAATTGTATCCCACAAGACCTGAGTGGCAGCTGAGAAGCAGTGTTTCCTGGCCTCCGTTCCCCTTACAGCAAGGGTCTCCAACCTTCGGGTCACAGACTGGTACCGTTCTGTGTCCTGTTAGGAACCAGGCCACACAGCTGGAGGTGAGCGGTGGGTGAGTGAGCAAAACCAAAATTGTCCTCCCCTCCAGTCTGTGGAAAAACCGATCCCTGGTGCCAAAAGGGTTGGCAGCTGCTGCCTTACAGTACTTCACAAAAGCTTCTCCTAGGAAGAACATAATAGATGGGCTTATTCAGATTGGAGAAAGCAGTCCTGTAAGAAACTAGGCACCCAGCAAGTTTATATACTGATTAGATAATTTACACATGTAAATTTCAGAAAATATGTAGGTATTAATGTTTTTTGAAATTAAAAAGGAGAAACTCTTTAAAAAGGCTAAGAATAGACGCATTTGAAATAAACTCCAGTCCATGAAATACAATCTAATAAATATTATGCTATCTTCCATTTCAAGAAAAAAAAAGTAAATATTTAATCTAAATGTCCTTAAAAATGGAATAGAAGGTCTGTCTTCTAACTAATGCTTTGTTCATATTGTATTTATATAGGAAGAAGGAGCAAGACTGTTCCTTTTGTCCCTTCTCTCAAGTGCAGTCATGAAATATCAGGAATGAAAGTCTATGCTTTTACTTGAATGCATAGCATTTTTCCTTTTTTTTGCTTAGTTTATAGATATAGGCAATAATATTAATGAAGGTGCTGTAATCTATTTTCCATCATCACTCTTAGAATATATACCAATGGTGGCGAACCTATGGCACGGGTGCCAGAGGCGGCACTCTGTGGGCACGCGCGCCGTCGCCCCAGTCCTAGGCCTTCAGCTGGGTTTTATGAAACCTTTTCGTTTTAGGCCTCCGCCGCCATGTGCAAAAAAAAAAAAGGTTCAATCAATCAGTAAATTTCAACTTCTCGCAGGAAAAAAAAAGATCTTGCAAATTTGGAATTGATTGATTGAACTTTTTAGTCCCACCCAGTCTGCCGTTACCACGGCAGCCTCGCCTACCCAATGGGCCACACCCACCCGGCACCCAACGATGCATAAGTGGGTTTTGGGTTGCAGTTTGGACACTCGGTCTCTAAAAGGTTCGCCATCACTGATATATACATTAAGACTTTTCATCTATAATATTCAAATAAATACAAAATTAAACTCAATAACTGTTCGCAGTTGTAGTGAACAGTAGAAATACAATTTTTCAGAGGTAAAGTAATGCCTCCAGTAGAAGAAGAAAACATGATTTTATTTGAACATTAAATACATAAAATTATCGATTAGTCAACAATTTCATATTGGAGTCTTCAACATTTTTGTCGAGGAATTGCAGCTCATAAGCCATCAGTGTTTGGTCTAGGACAGTGTTTCTTAAAGTGTGGCCTGCATTGAAATAGCTGTGGCTACAGCCTTGGGAGTAGGAGTTCTGGCTGATTGGAGGCCCAGTTGATGATGGCAATAGGAGCCAGAGTCGGCAATTGTCCTGAGGAATAACGAATGTCTCCTGTAACTGCCAACTGGCCAGGTACATGGTCTGCAACAATCTTGGCAGTTTCTTCCCTCTGTGTAGGATACAGGAGTTGAATGTACTATTTTGATTTGATCGTGGTGGCTGATGGCCTGAAGGGATGAGTTAGACTAGCAAGGATATTGAAGGTTTTGGACTGTTTTGTTGGAGGGGGACTGGTCATGCCTTTTGTCCCATGATTGAGAGGCAGTGGCAGGAATGAGCCCTGGCTTATCAGGCCTATTGGATGTGAAGTTCTGTAGAGACCAGGTGAGGATGGGATGGCTAGGGGGAGGATTGAGTAGATATGATGGTGTGAGTGAGGAGTGGGAGGCAGTGCTCAGCCTACACAATGGTTTCAGAAGCACTGGTAGTCTGAGTGGAGTCTAATTCATCTCCAGTTATTTGTTGCTGAGTAGAGTAGGCAACTTTAACTTAGGGATGGGAAGAGGTGGGGAGGATATAAGGGAGAGTGCAGTTTGCACCAGTGTAATATAAATCTTTTAAATAAGTATTCTACAAATGCATAAATTTCCATTTTTCATATGGTAAATATTGATACATGTAGCCCATTCATATAATCTTCCAGTACAGATTGTGCATTAAAGCTGCCACCATATTTCTAAGGCTTTATGAGAGGCTCTTGGCTGTCTCACAGGTCTTCTGTTATTTTTTCAAGTTTGGCTTTTAGGGAATGAATGAATAGCCATTTCCCATCAGCTGAGATTGTCAGATAACATTTTCCCAGTTATCATTATGAAATTTAACATTCATGGTTGGACAGTGAATGTATTGGGATCAACTAAAATGAAAAAAGCAAGGTGTAAGCATTTATGTTTTCTAAAACTTTTCATTGTAAAAGGCAGGGGATATACAAAAAGCAAGCAAATTAGAAAATTAGATTGGATGCTATAGCTTCAAGGGGCTTTTTTTTTTTATAATATGGGCTCAGTTTTAAAGTGATATTTATAAGCACTGAGTATTGATAGTAAACCTGAGTGTTTTACTAGGTGGAAAGTTGTCCAAATTGCTGAATACTACTTAATGAAGAGAGAAGACAGAATCTTTTCTAATTCCTCTTAAGTTAGATAAGTCATCTCTGAATGTAGATGATTTCACCATGTTTGGTTAGATGTTTTGTAAATAACAACAACAATAAAAAGATAAAGTAAAATCTAAAAATATAAAAGTCCTTTTGTTGTTGAAAAAAATTGCACCTTTGAAGGCTTTGAGAATATTCTGATTTTGCTTGATTCCTAGAAAACAGTTAATGACTGTCCCGATCTTTTTTATCAGCTTGTCAGATTCTGAATATGTTTTGGTTCAGAAGGATTTTACTATAGGTTTTTTCTCCAGTTTTTATCTTAATGATCAGCTGCTATTTTACTGACTGCTTTTGAAGACCTCTTTAAACTTCAGCTTATATAAAATGTGCAACTCCCAAATGCACATAGTGAGCGAAAAAATATTTTTGAGGCATTTGCTGGTATTTAAGGTGATGTTATTCTTTTCCTTGCTTGAGATTATCATATCATAGATTTTTCTACTACAGCTATTGTAGTAGATTAGTCTCATTAGGTGAGACTTGATTAGTCTCATTAAGTGAGTTTAAATAGCCAACAATGCTAATTGTTATAACAACCTTTTCAGTACTTGCAAGCTCTGGACAGTTCTCCCCATGGAAACTACCATTTTCTTCAGGATCTTTTAAAACAGGTGTAAAAATCCCTTTTTGTAGACACCGATGGGTGACTCCTCTGAACCTGCATGTGTAACCAGTGAATTTGTGTTACTTTGCCTTTTAAATGCTATATTAATATATTTTATAGTATGGGTGTGTATGTACTTTGCCTTTTAAATGCTATATTAATATATTTTACATTAGGGCTGTGTGTATATGTATATACCAGTGGTGGCGAATCTATGGCATGGATGCCAGAGGCGGCACTCAGAGCCCTCTCTGTGGGCACGCGCATTATCGCCCCAGTCCTAGGTCTTCAGCTGGGTTTTATAAAATCTTTTCGCTTTAGGCCTACGCCGCCGTGTGCAAAAAAAAAAAAAAAGGTTCAATCAGTCAATTTCAACTTCTTGCGGGAAAAAAAAGTTCTTGCAAAGTTGGAATTGATTGATTGAATTTTTTAGTCCCACCCAGTCTGCCGTTACCACCGCAGCCACACCTACCCAATGGGCCACACCCACCCAATGGGCCACACCTACCCAGCACCCAACAATGCATAAGTGGGTTTTGAGTTGCAGTTTGGGCACTCGATCTCTAAAAGGTTCGCCATCGCTGGTATATACAAACAAATATACATACTTAAAACTTTAATGTCTGCTAGTGAAAATAATAAGCCAATTATAAATAGTGTGTCAGAAAAAAATGATTTTTTTCCCCTTGTCAACAGGCAAGCTCACACTTTAACAGTCCTGTTTATCCTTACCTGCACCCTGGGCTATGTGACCTTGCTTGAAGAAACGCCACAGGACACAACCTATAACACAAAGAGGTAAATACCTTTTACAGAATACTGCAGCAAATGCAGTGTTGCCCACTTATTAACTATTGTAGTTCATTGGGATACCAGTTTTTCAATTGCAGTTCTTTGATTGAGATAGTCTTCAACTTACAACCATTCATTTAATGATTATTCGACGTTATAGTGGCACTGAAAAAAAGCATCAAATCTGGCACTTATGATCATCACAGCATCCCCATGGTCATGTGATCAAAAATTGGGCTCTTGGCAAGCAGCAGGTATTTATGAGGGTGGCAATGTCCCAGGGTCATGTGATCACACTTTGTGACTATCCCAGCCTGCTTCCAACAAGCAAAGAGAATGGGAGAAGCCAGGTTCGCTTAACAACCTTGTGATTTATTTAATAAATGCAATGATTCACTGAACAGCCCTGGCAAAAAAGGTGTAAATGTAGGTGCACTGCCTTGCTTAGTAATGGAAATTTTGACCCCAATTGTGGTTATAAGTTGAGGACTACCTGCATTTGGATCTGTTGCCCATTTAGTAGTTATTTCCTAGTCTCATTTGAAAACTAATGTATAGTACATGATAAAAATGTATATTAAATGTTGCATATTGATTAATCCTGCTTTTTAAGAGGTTTCTGTTTATTAAATCACAAGATAATTTGATAACTCTAAAAAATCTTTCCAAGTTGAAAATGTTTTCTTAATATTTCTCTATCTGATAAAGTTTCATTGAACTTACAAAGATTGGAATCAAATAGCATCTTTTAATATATCCTAAAGCAAATGTTCTGTTAAATTAGATTTGAAAATTAATGTATTCATACAAAATCAGGATTCATTCTACATGTAGTCTTAAACTTACAAGCAATTGCTTAACAACTATTCAAAGTTGCACAGAATTGAAAAAAAGTTACTTTTAACCTGTCCTCAAAATTATGACACCAGCCCAGCAGTCTTATGATCACATTTCAGATGCTTGGCAAGTAGATATGCATTTACCAGATTCAGACTTGCAGCCATGTAATTAGCTTAACAACCACATATTTGCTTAATGACTATGGTGACTTGCTTAACAACTATCATAAAAATGGTTGTAAAATCAAGTCTGGTCACATATAATAAGTTTAGGTGTATGTCATATATGTGTTTCACTTTGAGAGCGGGCAACTAAATTTCATTTTTGATGTATGCCGTTGTGCCCACAGTAAAAAAAATGACAATAAAGTCTACCTTATCTACCTTATCTTACCTTATGATCACAATGCCTTACAACCAAAATTCTGGGCTCAAATGAGTCATATGTTGAGGACTATCTGTATACTGCTTTCAGTGAAATAAAATATTGGACTACAGCTAACTTCTTTCTGTAAGCTCAAAACTACTGAATGCCAGAGTATAACATACTGAAAAAAATCCTGGTTCTTGTCTGATAGTGATAGTGTGAGTAGTAGGGCATTGTAGAGTTGAAATGGAATGTAAACAAAGATTAATTATTTCATCAGTTGAACACCAGTCTAGTATAATCATTTCTCTGCTCTTTTCTCCCAGTGATACTTAGAATAAAACTAAACAATTAAGGCCATAATTATTTGTGAAAAAGTAGAAGGGTATTTTATGAACTCCTTGTTGAAAGGTAATACATATATATTAAGTAGGTGACAAATTAGTTATATAAAGTAGACATACACTTTGAGAGTGAACTTTCATCTGCTAGTTTACGTGGCAATTCATTGGAATAGCCTGCCAACTGAATCATAGCTAAATTTTGATTAGTATAATTCTGGAGGCAAAAGTGTACTAAAATATTTATAGGTATCTTATATCTGGCTGACTCATTAGCACCTAGAACAATTAGACTTCATAGCTTAGTTTGAATTACCATATCTGAGTTTAATGTACCTGAACGTGACTTTTGCCCTATTGCTTGTCCTACTGTGACACGAATTATCTGTAAAACGGTCACTAGTTTTGCAGTAAGATAGAATATTGAACTCAGTGAGTGATGTTGGATTAATCAGTTTCTTAGCCTAATTTATCTCAAAGGTTGTTATTTCAGGAGGTAAGTTTAAAAGATACAATGCCATGTATGTAGCTTTGAGTTCCTTGAAAAAAGGCAGGATATGAATGCAGTAAATAATAATAGTTTATCAAGTAATCATTTGGCTCCTGAAATATGCATTGTTTTGCTGAGGAATCATAGGGTGGGAAAAGTTTTATATATGAGAACTAATGTGATCGTTGGACGAAATTAATTCCTAATGCTAAAGTTTGGAATGTAACCAAATATATGTACCTACTAATTAACTTAAGGATATAAAGTTATAATTTTTTGGTCTTTCAATTCATTTGTTATTCTTTTAAAAAAATACATTTCTCTTAATAGTTTAATACCTATAAAATCAGTGCTGTTTATATGGGAAAGAATAAATAAAGAGCCGGTTTGGTGTAGCGATTAAGGCATCAGGTTAGAAACCAGGAGATGGTCAACTCTAATCCTGCTTTAGCATGAAAGCCATCTGGGTGACTTTGGGATAGGCACTCTCTCTCAATCCAACTCACCTCATAGGATTGTTGTGGAGAAAATAGGAGAAGGAAGGCGTATTAGGCATATTTGCTACTCTGAATTATTTATGAAAATAATAATGGCAAAATATAAATAAGATCAGAATCAGGCAAGTATTGTTTATACATTTTTTATGGCTGATGGAGTTTTATCCTCATTATTGCAGTCAGCACAAACACACTGCTTTATGTCTATGCAGCTTTCTAAAACATATACACTTTGATTTTGATCAGTGTGCACAAATCAAATTCACAAATTAATCAAAAGACAAGCAAATTGTCCATTGGAAAGCTAAAGATAGTCAGGATTTATGGCAAGTTACAGGAGCTACAGATCATTTTCAATAATATATCAAACAGGTATTAAACAGGGTGACTGCACACATAGTAACATGCCACTTTTTGCCTTCTGATAAATTAGTTCTGCTATATATAAAATTGTTGAGTGTCCCATCTCCCAAAAGGTGGAGGGGGGGGAGGACTGAGATCATTTTTGTCTCTGTGTTGTGCTTCAGAAGTACGTAAAGCTCTCCGTGAGATTGGGGGATGAGAATTTGCCCTTTTCTCAGTTCTGGAAAGGGAGAAAATGTTAAATATTAATTTTTGCTGACAGCATCTAAACTCAGTGAAATTCAATAATCCACTGTCAGAATATCGAGGGGCAGCTTTATATATCATGCTTGAATGTAGAGAAAGTACCTTTTTACTGATCCAATAAAACAAAAATTGAAATATGTGAATAGTTTTATTGTTTTTTAGAAAGAGAAACCAATTGTTTTGAATGCTTCAAGAGATATTATCTTAAGCAGTCTAACTTACCTTAGTACTATTGTCTATAGGTCTTTATTTTAACTTTTCTCAAAGGGCTGAACTAAATTGTGAGCTTATGAGACTGGTTTTTTTCTTTTTTTTGAGAAGCTTCTCCTTACTCAGCGAACCTTTAAATAGTTTTAGCTATTGCTTAGATGAGACATTAGCTTGATCCATTTCAAACTGGCTTCAGAACACACCGTGGAGTTGTGTCGGCTTAGTTAGTTTGTGTATTATTTTTATTTGGGAATTGGCATGGGGAATGAGACTCTTTGGGTGTTTCTGAGCAGCTCAGTGGCCATGGTATGTTCCTAGATTATCTGAATGTTCTGGGAATAGGAGGCACACTTTTGCAGTACTATGTCTTAGGTAATTTCAAATGGTGTCACTTGGATATAGTTGCTTCTTGAAATGAGAGCTGTTAATATATTGTCCCCCAGGGCTCTGTTTCGTCTCCAGTGCTTTTCACTTTCTGCATGATAGAAGAAAGCATCAGAAAATTAGAGCTGTGTTTTATCAGTTGTACTGAATCCATCTAATCTGTTTTTGGATGTGGATCACACTTTCCTTGAATGATTAGGTTTTTATCTGGAGCCACATCTGAATTGGAATCTCTGATATCCAATTTGAGGTAATAGCCAAGACCACCTTTATCAAGTTTGCTTGATGTGTCAATTGCATCCCTTCCTGGAAGAAACTATTACACTATTTAAATTATTGTGCATGTACCAGTAACCTTCAGTTTTCAGTATTACAACATGGTCTATGTAGGTATATCTATATTTATGGTATAGGACATTCCATTGGTATAGAACTTAGACACCAGATTGTTCTTTGGAAGAAGTTAAAGACACCATGTAACACTGACATTAAGTCATTTCCTGACCACTAAGTTCTTAGATTAATACAAAATATTATCTTCAAACTCTGATCCCACCTGCTCATTGAGATAATCTGAGAAGATTCACTATAGTTGCTTCGGTCTTACCTCATGGTGAATTAGGATCAGGTCTTCTGTATAGCCGCTCCATTTCTTTGGAATATAATCCCCACTGAGTTAAGAGCTATAAGGCCTTGTAAGGATACTTTTTAAACAAGACTTTTAATTCTTGTAAAGAATAGAATAGAATAGAATAGAATAGAATAGAATAGAATAGAATAGAATAGAATAGAATAGAATAGAATAGAATAGAGCTGGAAGGGACCTTTGAGGTCTTCAAGTCCAGCCCCCCGCTCAAGCAGGAGAACCTATACTATACCATCTCAGACAAGTGACTGTCCAGTCTCTTCTTTAAAATCTCCAGTGATGGAATGCCCACGATTTCTAAAGGCAAGCTGTTCCACTGGTTAATTATCCTCACTGTTAGGCAGTTTCTTCTTAATTCCAGGTTGCTTCTCTCTTTGATCAGTTTCCAACCATTGTTTCTTATCCTGCCCTCTGGTGCTTTGGAGAATAATTTGACACCCCTCTTCCTTGTGGCAGCTCCTCAGATACTGGAATACTGCTATCATGTCACCCCTATTTCTTCATTTCTTTAGACTAGTCAAACCCAAGTCCTGCAGCAGTTCTTCATATGTTTTAGTCTCCAGACCTTTGATCATCTTAGTTGCTCTTCTCTGAACTTTTTCCAAGGTCTCAACATCTTTTTT